AGGCCACTAGGAGATGAACCTTAGGAGGCAGTGCTCCCTTAATCTGAGAAAATGACTTTCTATTCTCTTACTTCGTAATTAAGGCTTGGGATTTGTTAGTTTTTGTCCTCTTCTGTAAAGGTACAGATGGGTTCCATTAGGTCTCAGGCAAGAACTTGAGGTAAGAACTGGAAAGTCATTAAGAAGCACACTGGCTTCTTGGGAATGTTTGCTTTAGTGAGTGCTCTGAGCAGACTAGCTGTGCCTCCTTCCATCAATATGCCTCTCTGCCAATCCAGGCAGATTGCCAGTGACACATGGGGATGATTTTCATATGTCTTATAATGAGACGTTTTGTAGAGTCAATGGTGGTGATGAGGTGTGTGACTGGAGAAGCCGTGTAAAAGGCCTGGAAATGGCTTAGTTCTGGTACATAACACTTCGTAATTGCTAAGTTTCACAGTAGGGGCCTCGAAACATGAAAGACTTGGCTAAGAACCCATCTGCCTCTGGTCCCAAATTACATTCTATTTGTTAAAAGATTCTTAACTGAATTTCTTGGGAAGTTTTTCTTTTGTGGTAAGGGATATAGACTTTAAAGATAATTATTCTTTTAAAAAAATTTTTAAAGATTTATTTTTGTTTAAAAAGCAGATTTAGTGAGCAATAGAAGGAGAGAAAAAGATTTCTTCCATCTGCTCATTCACTCCCAAAATAGCCACAAGGGCCAGAGCTGGCCTGAGCTGAAGTCAGGAGCTAGGAGCTTCTTCTGAGTCTGCCAAGTATAGGGATCTAAGGACTTGGACCATTTTCTGCTGCTTTCCCTGGCACATTAGCAGGGAGTTGGATTGGAAGTGGAGCAACTGAAATTCGAACTGGTGCCCTTATGTGCTGGTCAGTGCCTCAGGCAGAGGCTAGTGTACTATGCCACAGCACCTGCCCAAGAAAATTATTCTTAAAATATAATTTGTCAGCCCATTGTAAAAAATACTAAGAAAAGGTAGTCTGAGTGGATTTATTTCATAAGGTACCTAACTGATGGGAGGATGAATGTTTTTAGAATCATTGTGTGTTGATAGAAAGAACACTGGGGGAGGTTTCAGCCTGTTTTGTGGTGTTAGGGAAGCTACTTAATATCACTGAGCTTCAGTTCTACTTCTGTGAATTGAGGTAAATATTAATATCTAATTCAAAGTATCACAGAGTTACAGGAATTAATGTGTATTAAGTGCTTGTCTATGATTTTTTTTTTTAAGATTAAAAAAAAAAATGATCGGGCCTGGCATGATGGCTTAATGGCTGAATCCTCACCTTGCAAGCACCAGAATCTCATTTGGATGCTTGTTTGTGTCCTGGTTGCTCAGCTTCCTGCCAAGCTCCTTGCTTGTGATCTGGGAAAGCATCAAGGAGGGCCCAAAGCTTTGGGACCCTGCACTCATGTGGGGGAACCAAAAGAAGCTCCTGGTTCCTGGCTTTGAATTAGCTCAGCTCTGGCCATTGTGTCCATTTGGAGAGTGAGCCAGTGGATGGAGGATCTTTCTCTCTGTCTCTCCTTCACTCTGTACATCTGATCTGCTTTTCCAATAAAAATAAATAAATCTTTTAAAAACTCACAAAAATTATTTTAAAGTCTATTTTCCAAAAAAGATTTATTTATTTTATTGGAAAGAGTTACAGAGAGAGGAGAGACAGAGAGCCCTTCCATCCATTGATTCAGTTAATATTATGCCCAGAATGTTAGTTATTCTTTTTCTCCCTCCAGTTCTCCAAATCAGTCCTTTTTCTTCTAGTTTGATTCGGTCTTATGTGAGTTTCTTCTAACCCCTCATCTGAGGAGCCAAGAAAATCTCACTTGGCAATTAGTAGTCAAGAGACAAAGAAGACTAAACTGGCTTGTGGTATCTCTGGGCCTCAACCCCAACCCCAATCCTAGGTTGGTAGGGCCTGATCATAGGGGAAGTATTACAAAAGATGGGTCTAATTAGAAACAGGACAAGCCACTGCCCAATACACGTTATTTAAGGCCTGAGAAAGGCCTTCCCAATTTCCACTTCTAAGTTATTCACATGTAGTCTTCTTTTGTGTCTTAAGTTTCGTTAGTAGTTCTTACTTAACAACATCAGCTGCTGGCATCACAGCCCTTAGTAAGTTTGTGCTACTATTTTAACAAAAGCAAGGTTTTCAAGGTATGAGTCAAGTAAAGTTTTGGTGGTTTGGGAAAAATGATCCTTAATAAGTATGACAGTTGCAGAAAAAGCCACGATATCCCTGGGTTTTAAAAAACCATTAGGATGGTGATGGACTTGCATCTGAGGAGTTTTCGTTTGGGAAATCATTCCATGTGAATAGCAGGTCTCTGCTTGGACAGTCTGGAGGGTTTTCCTCCTGTAAGTTCACTTCTTGGTGCTGTAAAAAGGATGACTAGAGAAAGACAGATCATTTTGGCAGAGTTTAGGGGTTAACCTCTGTAGGTCCTAGATGTTATAAAGAGAATGTGGGTCTATATTGCTATCTTTTTTGAAATGTGGAGATAGATCGAGAGGCAGGAGGATGCCTGGCCAGTCAGGGGTAGAGCCAGAGCTTCCAGCTCCTTTGCCTGTGCAAGCTCATTTCTTTCAAGCTCCCCTAGTTGAGCCCAGCCAAGCCTGTTTCCGGAAGTCCGTTGCTGAGCAGGAGGCAAACACCAATGGCAGGCCACCTTAAAGGGTTTATGTCAAGCCCAGTGCTGTGGCCTAGTGGCTAAAGTCCTCGCCTTGAACGCGCCAGGATCCCATATGTGTGCTGGTTCTAATCGCAGCAGCTCCACTTTCCATCCAGCTCCCTGCTTGTGTGGCCTGGGAAAGCAGTCGAGGACAGCCCAAAGCTTTGGGATCCTGCACCTGGATGGGATACCCAGAGGAGGTTCCTGGCTTCGGATTGGCATAGCACCGGCCGTTGCGCTCACTTAGGGAGTGAATCATCGGATGGAAGATCTTCCTCTCTCTTCCCTCCTCTCTGTATATCTGACTTTGTAATAAAAAAATAAATAAATCTTTTTTTTTTTAAAAAAAAGGTCTTTGTCCCTCTGAGCCACACGCTCCTAATTTCTCCACATGTTGCTCCCTTGGCTTTCTTTGGAACAGCCTTCTCTCCTGCTGGCATTTTGCCTTCCCCTTTTGCAGCACCCCCTGTCTCCATGTTTGCACCATCTGGACTCAGCTAAGGCTCTTGATCACTGTGCCCACCCCCTCCGCCATGTTCTGCTGAGTGTGGGCCCACACCAACGCAGATTTACTAAGTACAGTGAGTTCCTTTTATTTATTCCTGATGGCTTCAGGAGGAAAAAAAATACTGCTTCTCAGGCTTTGGAGTCTTAGTGTTTCAGTAGTAACAATTTAGAAACTAGTCATGGGCCTGGTGCAGTAGTCTAGTGGCTAATCTTTGCCTTTCATGTACCAGGATCCCATATGGGTACTGGTTCATATCCCAGCTGCTCCATTTCCCTTCCAGTTCCCTGCTTGTGGCCTGGGAAAGCAGTAGAGGATGGCCCAAAGCCTTGGGACCCTGCACCCAAGTGGAGACCCGGAAGAGGCTCCTGGCTTTGGATCAGCACAGCACTGGCCGTTGTGACCACTTGGGAAGTGAATCAGCGGACAAAGGATCTTTCTGTCTCTCCTTTCTGTAAACCTGACTTTCCAATAAAAATAACTAAATCTTTAAAACAAAAACACAAAACAAAAAAGAATAATTTTCCAGATCTCTCCATAGTATCATGATTCTTTGTGTGCTTCTTCTCTGCCCACACAGAGTTCCTGGCCCAGATTTTCATCAAGGACAAGGTCAGAGGTTTAAAGGGATTGCATATCTGAAGCACAAAGGGCTACCCTGTTCTTGATCTTATGAGATGTCGCTCTGCCATGGCCCTAATCTTACTCTCTAAAGTCGGGAGTCTGGCAGATTCTCCGTAGTTTTGGAGGGTTAGGCCTATATTCACTCTTATACCAAAAGAGATGCCTCCTTTCTCTCCAACTTCATCTTCATTTCCTTTCTTTCTTCCTTCATCTCACCCTTTTTTCCCTTCCTTTCCTTTTTAATCTTCAGATTTTTTTCATCGTTGCGATCTAACACATCCCGTTTCCAGCCCCATGCAATGCTGTATTTGTGAAGATGGGCTCTCTGCTGCATGCAGTGAGATAATTCACCATCATTTCGGATAGCAAACATCTAGGAATGGTTCAGCTCAGGAACCAGCCATTCCCAGGGTGGAAATCTCTTTCTTTGTATTTTATTCATGAATGTAACAATGGGAAGGTTTGAGTGCCTCTCGACTCAGGGCAAAAGAAGTGAGCAGCTCACACACTGAGCTCCTGAAGGTAGCAGTGCTAGCAACCAGAGAGGTAAATCCCAGGCAAGATGTCGCTCAGAAGGAAAAGGCTTTGAGGTGCTCAGCTCTGTGCTTCCCTTGGAGATCCCTCCTGTCGTGCTGTTATGTCACCACCCAAAGTCTGGAGCGAGATTTTCCACATAGGCACAGGAACCCACGCATTTACATCACCTTTGTAGACTTTCTCAGACACACCAGCAGGGAGCTGGATTGGAAATGGAACAGCTAGGATTTAAAACTGGTGCACATATGGGATGCTGTCACTGCGGGCAATGGGTTATCTCATTTCACTGTACCACCAGTTCCAAAACAATTTTTCCTTTTCTTTTTCTTTTGTTTCTTATTTGAAAGGCAGAGTCAGAGAAGGGGGGGGGGGCGGTGAGGAGAGTCCATCCTCTTGTTCTTTTCCCAGATGGCTTCAATGGCTTGAGCTGAGATGATATGAAACCAAGAGCCAGGAGCCTCCCATGGATCAACTGCCCCAAAACTTGTACCGTTCTCCACTGCTTTCCCAGGTCATTAAAAGGGAGCTGGATTGGAAATGGAGCTGCCCCACAATTTATTTTTTAAGTCTGAATTCAGATGTCAGTTTACTGATTTACTTTGAAAGGCAGAACTGCCAGGCTAACCAGCTATTTCTTCTTTTTTGCAGCAGAGGAGTCTACTCTGGAGGAAAACTTGATGTTGGCAAGTTGCTTGATAAGTGAAAGCTCTCATCATCTCAGAGGGGCTGTGCAGGGATGAGGGAAGCCAGAGTTGACAGACCACATTCTGGTAGAACTCTTCTTCAGCAAGTAGGATCACAAAACTTGAGGATTGACCCTGCTACAGATGACAAGACTTGACGGGGAGCATGCTCAGGTATTGGAGGGCTGTGGGGTAGTCCTAAGCATGGCTTGGTCTCCAAGAGCAGTCTGCCGTGGTTCATCACAGTTACTAGTAGCTTTGACTTGAGTGGCTTTGCATTCTTCAGATGAGCAACAATGGCTGTGGCTAAAACAAGGAGCACTTGCCTCTTGGAACGTATTTTCATTTTCTTCCACCCTCTCTCCTTGCCATCCTGATTCCCTCCTTCACTCTATTATTTTTTAAGATGATTTATTATTTTCAAAGACAGAATGATACCAAAGGATAGAAAGATCTTCCATCTCTTGGTTTGTTCCCCAGATGGCCACAATAGACCAGGCTGAAGCTAGGAGCCAGAAAGTCCCTTTGGGGTTAGAGCCTTTTCTGGAACCCCAGTGACCACCAGCAGGATCACGCCTCCCAAGCCCAACTCTTAGTAGCAGAAGCCATTTGATGCCCTGGGGAAGTGGTAGCCAAGGCACCTGTGTTTTCTTGTTTTGTTGAACCATTGAGATGTACACCTTCTCAGTCCCACACAGGTCAGTCCCAAGTTGTACTGATGATCTCCGAAGAAAAACTATGCTACTTTCATTTCTGGACATCCCTCCTCAGGCTGGTCCCTGAGCAACACTAGCCAGAGATCTCTGTAGGGATGTGTGTGTGGAGTCCTGACCTATGGGGCTGCTAAGTGTCGTCAGTCACATACTGGGTGGGGCAGGAGGAACAGAGAGATGGATTAGCAGAGGCATAGCATGAAAATGGAGCCTCATGGTGTTGATGGCAGACCACTGGGGCCTGAGTCATGAATGCCTGCTATCCAGGTTGGTCTGCTGTCAGACTTGCCTTGGATGCCAGTGGTCTTCCGATTCCAGTGCCTTGGAGACCTCCCTCAGCTGGCATATTTCTGCTTCTCCCACATGGCTCAGGTGTTGGACTTTCCCAAGGCCCCTTTGAGGGCTGGTCTTATGACTAAAATTCCTCTGTTCTTTGTTTCCATCAGCTCCTAACAGGGCTGTCCCATTATTTTCATGAATTAACCTGAGGGACTTGCTGCGTCTCAGACCAGGAGTACCAGCTAACACTTGTGTCTTCTCTTGATTCTGTTGTGTCCCCTCAGATTGGAGGCTTTTGTTTCTGTGTGTGTGTGTAAGAAGGGGAACTCTGCCTTATCACACACACACAGAGGTTTCTTGATCATCTGGAGCAGGCCTATCTGAGGCTTTCTGAACAGAGAGAGCAATCCTGAAAGCAGCCACAAGGAGACTCGAGGGAGCTGGGACTCCCAGGTGACTGCCTACAAGTAGCATGTGCGTTTCTAGGGCCATACAGGGAGGGGAGAGAACTGTAGGAAAAACACTTTGGGTTTGGGTTAACTTTATAGAAGCTGGAAAACCAAGGGATGGCTCTTGCCTGGTTGTGATTTCTGTTTTTGAAGTGAAACATGTAATTTAAAAATATTGACACACACCACATGCACATATATTTATACACACACGTATATGTCTAATACCTGTTTTACCTACTATAAGTACACATAGTGTATTCTATAGCTGCCAGGTTTTGTTTATTTGTTTAAGGAAATTCTAGTTAAGCTGTGGTTCAGATTTGCATCTCCACCCTTGAAAAAGCCCATATTTCAGCTCAGTGCTATATGGTCAGGCTTAACAGCACACCTTGTTAAACACATGGATCAAGTCACAACCAGCTTTATTATAAAAGCACCGTGTACACATTTGTTTATTCATTCTAGTACCTTGACAGCTAGCCAACAAGTCACTAACCCACAGAAGCAAGCATCACGAGAAGCAGGAAATGTCACTCATCCCTTCTGCCTGCTACACGTCACTCCTGAGTCACAGTGCTCCAATCACTGAGATCTGAGAACATCTATTTTCTACACTCATCCTGAGTGAAAGACACGGGTGTGGTGTGTATTGGGGGTGGGGACTTGTGCACATACTGCTTGGTTTGTGTATTGTCTTTTACCCAATGGCAAAGTCTTGGGTCACTGCTCCAATTGCTGCAGCAGCCATGGTGCTTCTGCTGCCTGGTTTACAGTCAAGTCACTGAGTGAAAAATGAGGCTCTCTCAATGAACAAGCAAACCCCTCTGTGGGTTGACTTCTGTGCCCCTAGGACATGGAGGCAAATGCTATTAGAGATTGTTTTTTTTTTTTTTAAGATTTATTTTTATTATTTTTTCATTGGAAAGGCGGATATACAGAGAGGAGAATCTTCCGTCTGATGATTCACTCCCCAAGTGAGCACAACGGGCCGATACCATGCCGATCCGAAGCCAGGAGCCTCTTCTGGGTCTCCCACGCGGGTGCAGGTTCCCAAAGCTTTGGGCCGTCCTCGACTGCTTTCCCGGGCCACAGGCAGGGAGCTGGAAGGGAAGTGGGGCTGCCGGGATAGAACCAGTGCCCATATGGCATCCCGGGCATGCAAGAGGAGGACCTTTAACCACTTGCGCCACCACGCCGGGCCCAAGATTTATTTTTATTATTATTTTTTTTTATTGGAAAGGCGGATATACAGAGAGGAGAGACAGAGAGGAAGATCTTCTATCCGATGATTCACTCCCCAAGTGAGCACAATGGCCGATGCTATGCCGATCCGAAGCCAGGAGCCTCTTCTGGGTCTCCCACGCGGGTGCAGGGTCCCAAAGCCTTGGGCCGTCCTCAACTGCTTTCCCGGGCCACAGGCAGGGAGCTGGGATAGAACCAGCGCCCATATGGGATCCCGGGCGTGCAAGGCGAGGACCTTAACCACTGTGCCACCGCGCTGGGCCCTAGAGATTGTTGAATTGGGCTGCCTGAGACCTCCTTTTGATTGTGTTTCTAAAAGTTTACTATGAGTCAATTAATGCTTGGAGCTGGTGCCATGGCTTATCAGATTAATCCTCTTGCTTATAGCACTGGCATCCCATATGGACACTTGTTTGTGACCCTGCTGCTCTACTTCCAATCCAGCTCCCTACTAATGACCTGAGAAAGCAATGGAGGATGGCCCAAGTCCGTGGGATACCTAGAAGAAGCTCCAGGTTCCTAGCTTCAGAGTGGCCCAGCTCCAGCCCTTGTGGCCATTTGGAGAATAGATGAAAGATTTCTCTCTCTCTCTCTCCCCGTCTCTCATCTCTCCTTATCTCTATAATTCTGCCTTTTAGATAAAATAAATCTTTAAAAAAAATAAATTTGTGCTGTCTTCCCCAGAGAAGTTCTCCTGGGGAAGGAAAGCCAGAGAAAGAAACTTTTAAAGGGGAGGTATCAGGAGCCGTGATGCCAACATGAAAAGATATTTTAAGCCAAAGACTTGCCTTTGCCCCTGCAGGTGAATTTTAGCTGGTGTACGAGAGCAGTCATAATCCATCTACTGAGCAGAAAGGCCTTCCCCAACAACATGCTCGCTAACTTTTTTATTGGGTCAAAGCAAGTTCTCCCAAACCAGTTGGCTAAGCTTCTTCCCTCATCTTCACCACCTCTATCTATAAGAAAATGCCAGGAATGGGGGTAATCAGAGTTGGAGAAAGCGGAGTGTGCAGGCTGGAAGAGACGCCTACTCAAGCACTTCCAGGAGAGCATCCTTCTCTTGGCATTCGCTTGGAGCCAACTTTTCTTTCTTGTGACTCAGCCATCATTAATTAGAAAGACTGCGTGAGCATCCTTCTTTTCAGTCTGCAGCTCTGCCCAGGCTCAAGCTGTTGATGAGGCAGGCATTTGCTGCATTCTCATCTCAAATCTCAGAGAAGACTTATCTTTTCCAGAGGACCTTCTCTGGAGGGAGCATCACCCCACTTCATGCTCTTTTGTAGGTTGGAGAAATTCACCCTTTCCCTCTGATTTTTTTTTTAAGATTTATTTGTTTATTTGAAAGGCAGAGTAAGAGAGGGAGAAATAAAGAGAGGTCTTCCATCCACTGGTTCACCCCCCTGAGGTCCCATTGTTGATGTAGCTTCCCAAGATGCATGTCTGGAGTCCTAAGCAGTCTCAAGAGCAGTGCATGGGACTACACAGGAGGAGTACATCACTATGCTTTATGGAAGAAGAAGCATCATGAAACAAAGAGAAGAACCTTGAAGTTGCATGAGCTAAGGTTTGTTTGCCAATTCCCACAACCAAGAAGCTGTTGTTGTGGTAGCTTACTCATCCAGCTGAGCCTCTCTGTCTTTGCATCCATAAACACAAGGTTCTGTTATCTCTTATACTTGGTTGTAGAGATTTTCCAGCGAGATACCGTAGGTGTAAGAGCCTACTGTGGTATTTGTTGTTAAGAGGAAGTTCAATGAAAACTACACTCCTCACTGCTTTCTACCCCTTCCAGTGAACTTTACTCTTCATTCCATCAAGCAAGGCCTTCTTGGCAACTGTCCAGCAGGTGCACTGGCAGAGATGGGTGTCAAAGGAGCAGTTTTATTGATTCAACTCATGGTGCCTTTTAGAACTTCTGGACAGAGGAAAGCGGCCCATGTTCTGCTGATCCAGAGGATGACCTGAGGAGTGGACACCAGATGCGACTTGTTACTTGTTTACTCAGTACTTTGATGTGGCCCAAAATCTCTCACATTAGTTATTTCCATTTTCAAAGTTTTCTTCAGGAACTAAGAGGCTTATCTGGAGACATAGTCTAAGTGTATAAACTTAAGGACAGAAGGCTGTTTCAGGTGTGGGGAGGATGGCCAAACAGACCAGGTACTTTGACTGTGTCTTGTCCAGAAGTGCATGGGACCCTTTAAAAAGGAAACAAACTGACTTCCACCTTGGAAAGGACTGTTACTTACCTGCTTTTAGTTGAAATAGTGAGTGTGGGTTGTGCCTACACAGGAATTACCAATATTTGTGGTGACCCAGTGAGTGTATATTAAAAATCTGACATGTATTGCAACAGCAAGGAACCTTGAGGACACCATGTTGAATAAAATGGGCCAGGCACAAAAAGAACAAAGAATGCGTCATTCCATCTAAGTGAACTCCTCAGGAGTCAAATTCAGGGAGACAGAAAGTAGAATAGTAGCTGCCA